CTGTTTTTGGCTTTGTACTTGATTGTCCTGTTGGCTTTTACCTTATTTTATTTAAGTGAACTAATTACATGACTTTTCGCCTGCCTTCAATGAAATTTGGGAAATATACCATTATTTTAAACAAGGTTTGGGCCGAAGTGTGACACTCCACACTAGTACGAAAAGCTATGTTAATATTGAATATTGCTAGCTATGCTATCTTCTCACTTAAGTTAAGTAGTTGGAAATTGACTTCTGCAATGTAACTTGTAGATGGATGGATCTCTAATACATATGAACGTAGATCTATCTTGAGAAATTTGTTCAAAAACGATGGAAAAGGGCAAGAGGCGTGTCTTGTTTGCTTTGTCTGAAAGAATGTTGTTATGCTATTGTTTAGCTGAGCATGCTAATCTTTCACCTATGAGAGTAGTAATTAGTGGCGGGCTGCTAATGCAACGTGAAAGGGAAACTCACGAAGGGGAACAGCCACAACTTTGCAAATAAAGCCAGTGCTACGATCAAATTGGTGACTCAAACGACACGTAGCTGTTTACTATTGAGCCATGTAAGCCGCTCATTAGCTGTTGTTGTTTGCAGTTTGCTGGCCCTGCAGAATCAGCTACTTGTTACCTTTATGTTTGCACGTTTATGCTTCAAACAGCTGCTCGACTTCCTACTGATTGCTCCATCGACAAGGAAGAAGCAGACAATTGTAATTACTCTGGGATAGACCAAAACTAAGTGAATAAGACGAATAATGTCTAGGGACCCATGTTCAATAATCCTCTTGGCGCGAATTCTAGGAATTGAGCTTCGCATAATTGGAACGAAAGACGACTATGTGTAATACTGGAGAGTGAGGTAATGCTCACTAACCAAGATGGGACCTCAACGAAAATCTTTTTAAGTTCAGGAAAGTCTTCGGTTTCAAGATGGCACTGATCAAATTGACCATGAATCGTTCTGTTGAGGGAACTTCGTCTTGCTAATGGCGTGTGTCGTGGTCCGGCTCAATCAGCATGACTCTTCTTCAGTTTCGCTAGCCTTGAATTTCCTTATGTTCTTGCC